CTTCGACACAGTTCCTCACAAGAGATTAGTGGAGAAGCTAGAGGATCAGGTGCGTATAACAGGAAGGGCACTGTAATGGATCAGAGAATACCTGACAGGGAGGCAACAACGAGTCATGGTATGTGATGAGGTATCAGAGTGGGCACCTGTGACGAGTGGGGTCCCACAGGGGTCAGTCCTAGGACCAGTACTATTTTTGGTATATGTGAATGACATGATGGAAGGGATAGACTCAGAAGTGTCCCTGTTCACAGACGATGTGAAGCTAATGAGAAGAATTAAATCAGATGAGGATCAGGCAGGACTTCAAAGGGATCTGGACAGGCTGGACACCTGGTCCAATAACTGGCTTCTCAAATTTAACCCAACCAAATGCAAAGTCATGAAGATTGAGGAAGACCAAAGAAGTCCGCAGACAGAGTATAGGCTTGGTGGTCAAAGACTGCAAATCTCGCTCAAGGAGAAAGATCTTGGGGTGAGTATAACATCGAGCAGGTCTCTGGAAGAACACAACCAGATAACTGCTGCAGCATATGAGTGCCTGGCAAACCTGAGAATAGCGTTCCGATACCTCAGTAAGGAATCATTCAAGACGCTGTACACCGTGTATGTCAGGCCCATACTGGAGTTTGCAGCACCAGTTTGGAACCCACACCAGGTCAAGCACGTCAAGAAATTAGAGAAAGTTCAAAGGTTTGCGACAAGGTTAATTCCAGAGCTAAGGGGAATGTTCTAAAAAAAAAAGGTTAAGGGAAATTGGCCTGACGACACTGGAGGACAGGGGAGTTAGGGGAGAAATGATAACGGCATACAAAATACTGCGCGGAATAGACAAGGTGGACAGAGACGGCATGTTCCAGAGAGGGGACGCAGAAACAAGGGGTCACGGTTGGAAGTTGAAGACTCAGACGAGTCAAAGGGATGTTAGGAAGTATTTCTTCAGTCATAGAGTTGTAAGGAAGTGGAACAGTCTGGCGAGTGATGTAGTGGAGGCAGGAACCATACGTGGTTTTAAGATGAGGTTTGATAAAGCTCATAAAGCAGGGAGAAAGAGGACCTAGTAGCAGTCAGTGAAGAGGCAGGGCCAAGAGCTGTGACTCGACCCCTGCAACCACAAATAGGTGAATACAAATAGGTCCACACACACACACAACACACACACACACACACACACACACACACACACACACACACACACAGCCAGGAACGAGTATGCACAGGTAAGGAGGGAGGCCCAGTGACAGTATGAAAATAACATAGCATCGAAAATCAAGACTGACCCGAAACTGTTGTATAGCCAAATCAGGAGGAAGACAATAGTCAAAGACCAGGTGATCAGACTGAGGACAGAAGGTGGAGAACTCACAAGAAATGATCAGGAGGTATGTGAGGAGCTAAACAGGAGAGTTTAAGGAAGTTTTTACAGTAGAGACAGGAAGGGCTCTGGGAAGACAGCACAGAAGGGAACATCAAGAGGGAATATACCAAGTGTTGGATGACATACGAACAACCGAGGAGGAGGTGCAGAAGCTGCTAAGTGACCTTGATACCTCAAAGGCGATGGGACCGGACAACATCTCCCATGGGTCCTTAGAGAAGGAGCAGAGATGCTGTGCGTGCCCCTAACCCACAATCTTCAACACATCCCTTGAAACTGGGCAACTACCTGAGAAATGGAAGACAGCAAATGTAGTCCCCATATTTAAGAAAGGAAATAGAAATGAGGCACTAAACTACAGACCTGTGTCTCTGACATGTATTGTGTGCAAAGTCATGGAGAAGATTATCAGGAGGAGAGTGGTGGAACACCTGGAACGGAACAAGATTATAAATGAAAACCAGCATGGGTTCATGGAAGGCAAATCCTGTGTCACAAACCTTCTGGACTTTTATGACAAGGTAACAGAAGTAAGACACAAGAGAGAGGGGTGGGTTGATTGCGTTTTCCTAGACTGCAGGAAGACCTTTGACACAGTTCCCCACAAGAGATTAGTGCAGAAGCTGGAGGATCAGGCGCATATAACAGGGAGGGCACTGCAATGGATCAGGGAATACCTGACAGTGAGGCAACAACGAGTCATGGTACGTGAAGAGGTATCATAGTGGGCACCTGTGACGAGCAGGGTCCCACAGGGGTCAGTTCTAGGACCAGTGCTATTTTTTGATATATGCGAAAAACATGATGGAAGGAATAGACGCTGAAGTGTCCCTATTCGCAGATGATGTGAAGTTGATGAAGAATTAAATCAGATGAGGATGAGGCCGGACTGCAAAGTGATCTGGACAGGCTGAATATGTGGTCCAGAAACTGGCTTCTCGAATTCAACCCTGCCAAATGCAGAGTCATGAAGATTGGGGAGGGGCAAAGAAAACTGCAGACAGAGTATAGGCTAGGTGGACAAAGACTACAGACCTCACTCAGGGAGAAAGACCTTGGGGTGACCATAACACCGAGCACGTCACTGGAGGCACACACCAGTCAGGAACCCACACCTGGTCAAGCACATCAAGAAGTTAGAGAAAGTACAAAGGTTTGCAACAAGGCTAGTCCCAGAGCTCAGGGGAATGTCGTACGAGGAAAGGTTGAGGGAAATCGGACTGACGACACTGGAGGACAGAAGGGTCAGGGGAGACATGATAACGACATGCAAGATACTGCGGGGAATAGACAAGGTGGACAGAGATAGGATGTTCCAGAGAGGGGACACAGAAACAAGGGGTCACAACTGGAAGCTGAAGACTCAGACGAGTCACAGGGACGTTAGGAAGTATTTCTATAGTCATAGAGTCGTCAGGAAGTGGAATAGCCTAGCAAGTGAAGTAGTGAAGGCAGGAACCATACATAGTTTTAAGAAGAGATATGACAAAGCTCAGGAAGCAGAGAGGGAGAGGACCTAGTGGCGATCAGTGAAGAGGCAGGCCCAGGAGCTGAGTCTCGACCCCTGCAACCACAATTAGGTGAGTACACACACACACACACACACACACACACACACAACACACACACCACACACACAACACACACACACACACACACCCACACACTCACCACTACATCACCTTTCACTCACTCTTTCACTCATCTTTCACTCACTCTTTTACTCACCCCTTTCACTCACTCTTTCACTCACTCTTTCACTCACTCTTTCACTCACTCTTTCACTCACTCTTTCACTCACTCTTTCACTCACTCTTTCACTCACTCTTCACTCACTCTTTCACTCACTCTCACCTCTCACTCACTCTCACTCACTCTCTCACTCACTCTCTCACTCACTCTCTCACTCTCTCTCCTCACTCTCTCACTCACTCTCACTCACCTCTCTACTCTCTTCTCCTCTCTCTCACTCCTCACTCTCTCACTCCCCTCTCTCCTCACTCTCTCTCTCTCTCTCTCTAGAGAAACTAGAGAAAGTGCAAAGGTTTGCAGCAAGACTAGTCCAAGAGGTATGTCCTACGAGGAGAGGTTAAGGGGAATCTACCAGACGACACTAGAGAACAGGAGAGATAAGGGAGACATGATAATGACATAGAAAATACTGAGAGGAATTGACAAGGTGGACGAAGACAGGATGTTCCAGAGATGGGACACAGTTGGAAGTTGAAGACACAGATGAATCACAGGGATGTTAGGAAGTACTTCTTCAGCCACAGAGTAGTCAGGAAGTGGAATAGTTTGGGAAGCGATGTAGTGGAGGCAGGATCCATTCATAGCTTTAAGCAGAGGTATGATAAAGCTCACGGTTCAGGGAGAGTGGCCTAGCGACCAGTGAAGAGGCGGGGCCAGGAGTTTGGACTCGACCCCTGCAGCCCAACTAGGTGAGTACACACAAACACACAAAACAGGCCAAGTGTCTATCAACAAGGGCCTCTGACAACAGTAACTAACACATACACACATTCATATATAAATCTATATGCACTCATACATCCATATTCTAGCAATCCAAATTCACATTACTTTCTGCCATGCAGACTGTCTGTATCTGTCTTTTTTTTTTTTTTTTTTTTTCCCATGGGAGGGAGGGACGGGGAGTTCTTTTATTCAAAGGGTAAAAAAGAGACAAAATAAAGTAGAAGAATTATAGGGGAATATATCTGTTAAGTGTTCCTGATAAATTGTTAAGCAGGGATATGATTAATAGGCATTGGTAAGGCAGGATGATAATTAAAGATCAGAGTGCATTTTAAAAGAGAAAGGAATGTCTGGACAAAGTGTTGTGGAATAGTAGACACAAATGCAGTATAATGTGATATAGTATGTTTCACACACTCAGCACACTTCACACACTCTGAGCAAAGAGTACATAAGCATGTATAGGGCAGATCTATTTGTGACTTGATAAAGCCCACTGTGTGGGTGGTACATAGTCAGTATAGGATCACATTATACTTCATTTGTGTCTATTTTTTCATCTTGTTGGTATTTTATACCATTTATATCCATAAAGTCTTTGTATTGATGTACAGTAGGACTTCCCGTATCCGTGGGGGATACGTTCCAAGGACCTGCCGCGGATACTGAAACCGTGAATAGTAGCAAACTTATTCATACCTATTATGAAGTTTACTTGATAAATTATGCACAATAAGTGGAGAATTATTATTTTTCACTGATGGGAAGCACTTCACACCTTCTCTTAAGCTTTGAATAACTTCCACCATCACTACTTTTGCACTTTGAGGCCATTATTAAGCAAAATTCAAGTATTATTTTTGGGATAACTGCAACTGCAGATATGGGAGTCCTACTGTATTGTTGTGCAATACTGTACTGTACATAGATGAAAGATATGAGCTGTTTATTATATTGGCAAATGTTCTTTTTCAGAAAATTCAGAATTTCAGAGATATATTTCTTTATCTGAAATGATGCATGGTAGCATCTGATCACTGAAGTGATTTTTCCTCAGTGATCATGAGTGGAGAGCTTTATACTGTGAATTTGTTTTTACATGTTTAAGCTCAATTTTCGTAAAGTATGTTGTTTGTTTACGTAGCAATGCAATGTGGTGGCAGAATGTTTTGAAGTAGCACTGCAGTTTGTGCTACAAGCAGAGAGTGTTGCTCTGGAGGATATAAACACATTACCCACTGCTCTACTAGATACTGTCAACCTCTCTCTATCCCACTGCAGAGACAGGTATGGATACCTTTGTTTTACACTAATTAAGAGTCACTCAGAATTTGTAAGTTTTAATGATTGAATGTTTAATTCATAATAATCCTTAAACTGTCCAAATGTAGATCTACGTTCACTGGCGTAGCGCTCCAAACGTACATCTACGTTTTTTTAGTCTTTCTTATGGAGAAAATCAAGGTCGGAGCACTATGCATGAAAACGTAGATCTACGTTTGGACAGTTGAAGGGTTAAGCACTAAACCCATGTGGATCATTCAGTGTAAGACGTGATGGAGACTCAATCCTCCATCTGATGAGTGCAAGACAGACGCACTTCCTATTTGTATTAACCTATATTAGTGATTGGACTGCCAGTTAATTAAACGAGGACCCTCGAGTGCCCCTTCCCTTGAAAACATTTAATGGATTTACAGATTGTCCAAACACTCCTTTTAACACTAGTTCCACTCCTACCTTTCTTTGACAGATCAATAGCACTATTACTATTGCATGTCTGATAGTGCAATTTTAATTTTCTCCCTCTTTAAAATACAGTGGATCCTCGACCAATGATGGCATCGTATAACGTTAAATCCAACTAACGATGCATTTTAACGCGAAAATTTTGCCTCGACTAGCTCTAAAAAACTCGACCAATGTGATTCGTTCCGTTCGAGACGCGTCCACGTGTGGCCTGAGCGCGCCTCACTTGTCCCGTGGGTGCCATTGTTTACAAGCCAGCCACCGCGGTCGCATCCAAACATACACTCGGAACATTTCATATTATCACAACGTTTTTAGTGATTGCACCTGAAAAATAAGTCACCATGGGCCCCAAGAAAGCTTCTAGTGCCAATCCTGTGATAAAAAGGGTGAGAATTAGTATGGAAATTAAGAAAGATTTTGAAGGGTTTGGGGCTAACCCTGAGACGCCTATGCCAGTTGTGGAATCCATTGTGCCTACTTCAAAGATTAAGGAAATGTGTGCAAAGTGGGTTGAACTGCAAACCTTTATGGATGAAAATCACCCTAACACAGATATTGCAAGCCGTGCTGGTGACTATTACAAAGACAATATTATGGCCCATTTTAGACAAATCTTAAAGGAACGGGAGGTACAGAGCTCTATGGACAGATATGTTGTGCGACAGAGGTCCAGTGACTCTCGAGCTGGTCCTAGTGGCATTAAAAGAAGAAGGGAAGTAACCCCAGAAAAGGACTTGACACCTCAAGTCCTAATGGAAGGGGATTCCCCTTCTAAACACTAACACGATCCACACTCTCCCCTCCTCCCATCCCATCAATCATCACCAGATCTTCAATAAAGGTAAGTGTCATGTAATTGTACATGTCTTCTTCAGTTTGTGTATTAAAATTAATATTTCATGTGGTAAAATTTTTTTTTTTCAATACTTTGGGGTGTCAGGAACGGATTAATTTGATTTCCATTATTTCTTATGGGGAAAATTATCTCAACTAACGATAATTTCGACTAACGATGAGCTCTCAGGAACGGATTAATATCGTTGGTCGAGGGTCCACTGTATTAAAATGGCTTCACTTTATTATATTCAGCCACAGGAAATGAAAGGCCTTGGTAATATATTGTATATAGTTTTGTGTTTAAATGTGTATATGCCTCCATTAGTCCTGGGGCCATTGTTTGGGTCAGAGGCAGGGGGGGCAGATGGAGAAATGATGTTTTATTCTTGTTAACCCATTCATTTCCACACCCAGAGAATCAATATTGCTCTGTGTCCATTTTTTTTTTTTAAATATTTTTTCTTCTCAAATGGTTGATAATATTTTTCTGAAGGTAATCACACTAAATGTTCAAAATTTGATGGACAACTTAGGAAATTACACATGTGCATTGTTTTGTGTATTGTAAGCCAATTCCATTGCTCCATTCAACCAGATTCTTGGCTGTTTTGCTAGTGTGGCTTCCACTCTATTGATTGAGCACAAGAAATTGCATATTCACCTGTTACAACTATCCTATAAAATGCACAGAAATTGGAAATTAGGCCAGTTTTCCACAAAATTAAAAAATACCAATTTAAAATAAGAGTCCAAAATAAGCAATGTAGACATTCCTGGCACTAAAACAAGATGTACCCTGTTAATTAATCATGTTCCCAGGCCTCTCCTGTATTACACTTGCCCTCAGTGTTGAATTCATAATCACAAAAATAGAATATATACTCTATTTCTTGGATAATAAAATATAACCAGGAATGACTGGTTATGGCTTATGGTGTCCCAAACCTATTAAAAACCCATAAAACACTGCTTTGAGGTCGATATCAAGCTGCTTCCATTTATGAAACTAACCAAAATCATCTCTGTTTCAGTAGTATGTTTTTCAGTATATCAAATAATATAAAAAACAGCCAGTGCAACCATAAAAAAAATACTCAAGAAATTACCTCATTGTTGCTGTTTTAAATCACACACACAGTCAGAGTTTTGCTTTTCCCATCATGCACCACATGGGGTAGGATTTTTAATATATTGTGTGCACTCACCTCACAGACCCATTTTCTCATATCTTGGCCCAGATTTACCACTTACAGCTTATCTGAGTGAACTGAGCTCAAAATGTAGATCTGCATAAGGGGCCCTGTATCAACAATGTAGATCTACATAAGGGACCCTGGTATCAACAACATAATCTACAAAAGGGACATTGAAAGGGTTAAATGTCCTTGAGATCATATACTTGAGAACCACTGGTAATATACTGTAGCTAAATAATTGCTAATATATTTTGTTAATTTTAAGCTCAGAGTTTATTATATTAATAATTCATTTAGAAGACTAGTACAGCACAATTGACTGACAGGATAACTTTGACATGACTGTGACTTATTTATAATTAATGTAGCCTACCATAAAAATAATGCGGGTATTAACCCTTTGACTGTCGAAAGGCCCAATCCTGAAGTGTCTCCTGGTGTCGCAAAATATTCGAAAAAAAAAAAACAAAAAAAAAGATGATTTTTCTGATTGTTTTAGTCCAAAAAAAAAAATTCCCATCAGTACTTACCCAGATATAGAGGCATGAAGTTTGCAGAAAATGAGCCGCATATGACAACAGCGACGACTGCCGCTCACCCGGTAAACTTTGGTTTACAGTGGTCCCTTGTTTTTCGTAATTAATCCATTCCTGGAGCCGTTACTATAAACAAAATTTACGATTTATGAATCAATTTTCCCCATAAGAAATAATGTAAATACAATTAATCCGTTCCTGACACCCAGAAGTATTAAAGCAAAAAAATTTTTAACATGAAATATACATGTAGTACATAAACAATACAATGGGAAATGATGAATGAAACATTAGCAGCATAACACTTACCTTTATTGGAGATTCTTCTTAGTGTATGGGAGACTGGAGGAGGAGAGAGAGTGGATTGTTTATAGTTTGGAAGGGGAATCCCCTTCCATCAACATCTCAGGTACCATTTGCTTTTCTGGGGTTGCTTCTCTTCTCTGTTTCTTAATGCCACTAGGACCACCTTGAGAGTCACTGGAGTCCTGTCTCACAAAATAACTGTGGAGAGAGCTCTGTTTCTGGCGTCTCTTTAACACTTCCCTAAAATGGCCCAAGACTTTGTCACTGTACATGTTGCCAACCTGGCTTGTAACAACCTTGTTAGGGTGATGTTTCTCCATAAAGCTTTCCATCTTACCCCACATAGTAAAAATCTCTTTAATTTCTGAAGAAGGCACCTTCTTCCATCTCTCTTCCTCCTCTGCAGCAAGATTCTGAGCTGCGATGTGTTGCTCTTCCTGCTGAAGCTCTTGCAGCTCTGCAGTGGTGAGCTCTTCATTGTGGTCTTCCACCAATTTTTCCACATCCTCCAAACTCACATCCAACCCCATGGAAATCCCCAGTGCCACAATTGATTTTACAACAGACATAGGCTCATTAGGGTCAGTCTCAAATCCTTCAAAATCCCTCTTGTCGACACAATCTGGCCACAATTTTCTCCAGGCAGAGTTCAAAGTCCTGGTAGTCACTCCCTCCCAAGCCATACCTATAAGGGAGGATGGAGGATGCTGAAGTGTTCTCTCCAAAATTCCCTTAGGGTCAAGTAAGTGTCTGTGGTCACAGTCAAGCACCTGTGAAACATTGCTTTTGTGTAGTTTTTTTAAGTTTGCAATAACCTGCTGGTCCATGGATTGGAGGAGAGGAGTGGTATTCGGGGGCAAGAACTTTACTGTGATGAACCCAAACTCGAAAATTAGGTCATCCAAGTTTGGAGGATGAGCAGGTACATTGTCCATTACTAGCAGGCACTTGAGATCCAATTTCTTTTCCAGGAGATACTCCTTCACACTAGGGCCAAACACTTCATTGAACCACTCGACGAAAATTTCCCTCGTGACCCATGCCTTACTATTAGATTTCCAAAACACACACAATTTACTCTTCATAACATTGTTTTTCCTGAACACACTGGGATTTTCAGAATGGTACACTAGTAATGGCTTCACTTTGAAATCCCCACTAGCATTAGCACAGAACATTAGCGTCAGCCTGTCTTTCGTAGGCTTGTGTCCTGGCATTGCCTTTTCCTCTTGTGTAATGAAGGTCCTCTTTGGCATTTTCTTCCAAAAGAGGCCTGTTTCGTCACAATTGAACACTTGTTCAGGTTTCAGTCCTTCAGCCTTATGTACTCCTGGAATTTATGCACATATTTTTCAGCCGCCTTGTGGTCCGAACTGGCAGCCTCACCATGCCTTACCACGCTGTGTATGCCAGTACGGTTCTTAAATCTCTCAAACCAGCCTTTGCTGGCCTTAAATTCACTTGCATCACCACTTTTTGCAGGCAATTTCTTTACCAAATCTTCATGCAACTGCCTAGCCTTTTCACAAATAATCGAAGTCATAAGAGTATCTCCTGCTAATTGTTTCTCATTTATCCACACCAATAATAACTTCTCAACCTCTTCCAGTACTGGTGATCTCATTTTTGTCAGCATAGCTACTCCCTTTGCAACAACAAA